TATTTTATGATATGCATTTACGTTTTTAATTATATTTTGAACTATAAAATTTAAATATCAATTTATAGTTTAAAATATTATTTAATATATGTGATATATAAACTATATATAAATATTTTTTTTTAATAATTTATTTATGAAATTTTTGCTATTACTTTTTTAATAAAAAGTAAATTTTTCATATTTATTTAATTTTATTATTAAATGAAAATTAAAACTTAGTATTAATGTTAGAATTTTTTATTTTATTTTAGTTAAAAGAATTTGTTATCTTGTATTTATTTACTATATTTCTTTAGTCTTATATAAATGAACTATTTTCAATATTTTCTTATTATAAATCTTAATTCTATATAAAAGATTTGTAAGATTTCTATTATTCATTAAAATTAATATTAATCTTTTAATTAAAATTATAATTTAAAGTTTAAATTTATTTATCTAATTTATTGAAATTATTGATTTAAACTTTATTATTTTCTTATTAAAGTAATTTATTTTTTTACTCATTTTAATAAAATTCAAGTTTTCGTAATGTCTAAGTTTTACTTTTTGGAGTTTAAGAATTATAAATTCTTTTTGATGTATTATTATTTAAAAAATTATTTTTAGTTTTTCGTAATTTAAAATTAGCAAATTTTTTCTTTTAATCAATTTATTAATAAATATAATCAAAAAGAATAAAATGTTAATTATTTTAATTGTTTTATTTTAGTTAATTATCTTTTGATGTTAATTATTAAAATATTTATTATTTTTTTTGAATAAGTTCTTATATTTTTTATAATTATATATTTTATGAAGAATTAAATATTTCAAGTTCCTTTTAATTTAAATTTTTTTTTTTAATTCAGCTATTATTTTATCCATTTTTCTTTATGTTTAAAATGGTGTTTCAGACACTTTTTATAGAAATTATTAATCTTCTTATAATTATTATTAAGTTTTTTATATATTAGAATATGAAATATAATCTATTTCTTTTTAAGAAAAAACATTTACATTTTTCTAAATGTTGAAATCATTTACATACATTTAAGTTAAACTTTAAACACTTTATAAAGTGCTTTATTTTTAAAATAATAATAATTATTATTATTATTATTATTATTATTATTATGTTTATTAAATTTATTTATTATATTTAGTTTGTTAACTTTTTTTAGTTCTTATTATTTTTTTATATTATAATTCTATGCTATTTAAATTTTCATTTACTATTATTCATTATTATTTTATTATAATTGTTAGATTATTTAATTGTTTTATTACTTTATTTTTAACTTATCAATTTATTTTTCTTATTCAAGCCTTGTAGATTAACGTGTATATTTGACATTTTCTTTTCTTTTTTACTACCATTATGTTTTTATTTCGAATTCTTATTTTATTTTTTCTTCTAGACCTTCAATCTTAGATATATTTTACAATTACTTTTTATTATATATAAATAAAATATATCATAAATATTACATCTTTTTTAAAAATGAAAATTTCAGAATTCTCACTTATACACAATGCTTATTATTATCGTGTATTAATTTAATTTATAATTTCTTCTTCTCCAAAATACGAATTTGATCCTAATATAGAAATTGCAATTCTTTCATTTTTTTTTTTTTTGTTATATTATAATTCTTTTTATTAAAAATAATTTATTTCTTATCTTATCTTATCATTTTACTATTCAATATTTTCATTATATATTTATGATATTTCTATTTCTCCTTATTTGATAAGATAAATAAAACGACTTAAATCACCTTCTTAATATATAATATTTCTTTTTTTATAATTAACTATTTTTATTTAGTTCATTATTATTTATAATTTTTTATCTGATAATTTTTAAAAAAAATAAAATCCTTTTAAGAATTCGATATTTTGCCTTTATATATTTTTTTTGTATTCTTTCTATATTTAATTAAAGCTATTTTTGCTTAAAGTCATTAGATAACATTCTTATTTGCATACTATTGTACCATTTCTTCAAAATAAAGTTATTTTTTCAATATTTTATTTTATATTTTAAGATACCTTTTTTAATCTTTGATAAATGTCGCCTCTCCAAAAGATTCACCAGAAGTAAATGTTTTTATATAAATCATATTTGGAAATTTTTGTTTTAGAAAATCTTCATAAGACACTTGTTTAGCCTCATTTCTTTTTATTTAAAAAAACGAATATAATTTTTATATTAATTATTTATATATATATATATATATATATATATATATATATATTTATTATGCTCATTATTTTAAAAGGCATTATTTTATTCAATTTTTTCTTAATTAGGAATAAATTATTATTTTACTAATTGCCACTTGCTTTGGTTTTATTTATCTTTTTAAGAATTTTCATTTTAATCTTCTTTTTAAATATTAGACATTAATAAATCTAGCTATCCTTAAATTACTACATAATAATTCAAATCTTCATCTCCTTTTTATAATTAAAAAAAATATCTATAAATTTATTTACCTTAATTAAATAAAGTTTATCTTTCCGATATTTATTTAATTTATAATTTTTCAAATAACTTTTAACTACATTCCTTCATTTAAAATATTTAGTAGTTTTTATTAAATAAATAAAGTCCTTTTATAGCCTTCATTAAATAATTACATTCGTTTATTGATTTAGGTGTTTTTTTTTTAAAATATAAATGATAACCTATTTTTTATTAAAAATATAAAATTAATTGATTAAATCGTTTTATTATTTATACTTGCTAATGAATTTCATCTTTAAAATCTATTGTTTAATTTTTTAATAATTATTAATAATTTTTAAATGGATAATTTGTTGCGTTTTGAAGTTTTTTTATAAAGATTTAAGCCATTATATTTTATTATATTTCTTTTTATTCATTTATTTAATTAATGCTTATTAAACTTTAATTATTCATTTTTTAATTTTATTTTATTTAAATTTATTATTTTATTTTTAATGGTAAAATTTATATATTTTTATATTTAAAAATAAAAACATAATAAAATTAAAATAAATTTTATTAATATTAAATATAATAAATTAATAACAGAAAAATCATAATATTTTATTTTTAAACAAAAACATATTATTTAATATTGACTATGTATGCTATATAATTTATAAAAATAAATAAGGTTTACTATCATTTATCTATTATAAATGAAAATATAATAAATAATAAAAAAAATGTTAATATATTAACATCACAGGCAAATTCCTTAAATTTATATTTTGAATTAGTTTAATCCTTCTTTTACTTATTCTAAAAACACATCTTATTAACTATCAATTAACTATCAGTTTCCATAGAACTAATACCTTTCATAATATGAAACTAGGAGCTATTATATTTGTTTTCTAAAGGTTAACAAAAGTAACTTTTCAACCTTATTATAATTATTTTATTCCTATTTATTAACGTAGTAAATATAACATACTATTAATTAAAAATTAAAAAAGGAAAAATAATTGCATTAATTATATATATAAATTATAAAAATGAAAGACATAATTCTATATTTAATGATTTCTTTCAACAAAAATTTTAAATATATCACCAAATTTTTTTAAAAAATGGCTTTCTAAACCGCATATAAAGCATACAGCTTCCAGTTATTAAATCATACCATATCACTTTTTATTTCTTTTAATTCTGCAAAAATATCAATAATAATACTAAATTTTATACTGATAAAATATTATTCTAAAAATGGAAATAATACATAATAAATATCAATTAAAAATGAACTCATTATAAAGCAATCTATTTAGAAAATTAAATAGACATAAGATTATTTTACTAAAAGTATATAAATAAATAATAAATATTAAATATAATTTTTTTTAAATTCAGACATTAAAAAACAAAATTTTTAATAGTACATAAAATTTGGACTAAATTGCAAAAAATTTATAAAGTTAAAAAAAATCATTTGGTTAGCACATATAGTTTTATAAACATATATAAATTATTTATAATTAGAATTCAAAAATATTAAGGGTGAATTATATAAACTGTAAAGTGTTCGATTGTTCTTATTTCATTTTTATTATAATTTATTTTAAAAAAAAAAATAAAAAAAATATTTTTAATATTTTAGTTTTTATTTTAAAAATAAATTAAGTAGAAAATTTATGAATATTTAATAATAAATAAAAATATTAAATTAAAAAGATATAAAATATATGCTTAACATATTTTTTATTGATTTAAATAAAAAATAAAATTAAAATAAATAAAAAAAATAAGAAGTAATATTTTCTAATAAATATTGTATTATTTAATATATTAATACTTAGTTTAATTATATTTATATATACTATTTATAAGTTAAATTCTCTATATTAATTAATATAAATAAAAAAAAATGAATATATCTATAATACAAAAATATGAATTATTAAAGAAATAAAATGTTTTATTATAAAAAATAACAATACTAATATTTTATAAATAATAAATAAAAATATAATTAAATATTTGTAATACATTGCATAAAGTTTAAATATAAAAGATTATTAAAATAAATTTAAAAATTATATTAATATAAAATAAAAAAATATATATATAATTTATATATATATATATATTTAAATATTTTATATATATATTTAATTTTATTTAATATATTACATTTATTTAATTATAATTTAATTTTAATCTTTATTATATTCAATTCGAATTTTCTATTTATTATAAAATTACGATATAAATCATTATAAAAGTAAATTTAATAATTATCTAATAATTTGTATAAATAATTATATTAATTCAATGAAATTATATATATACTGTATACATTATAAAAATTTTATTTTAAAATTAATTTATTATTATTAATTAATTTATATAAAGATATCAGAAAATCGAATGACGTGGAAATTTAAAGTTAATTCTAGTTTATTCATCCACACATTTTTTATATAAAATAAACATTAAACATTCAATTTTTTAATGAAGAAACAGCGAATCTTGTTACCCATTATTTATTTACTAATTATACAATTCATTATATTCAATCATATCCCAATCATCGATAAGTTTTTTTAATTTAAAATTAATTATTCTATCAGCTAACCTAGATATAGCTTCTATAAATTCTTAAAAACACATTTAGAAATGCTTATCACAATTTATTTCATCTACTTATGTTATCATACTTAAATTAAAAATCAAATTAACTTCTCTTTCAATAAATTAATCATTAATAAAATTACAATCAATGCATATTTTTCTAAACTATTAAGCTGAAATATATTTTTAACTTTTATATTGTTTTTAAGTTATTGATGTATCTGAGTAAACATCATATACATTTTTAAGTATTTTTAAGTAATTTTTTAGACAAAAATCACATTTTTCATTCCATAAATAATCATTCCTCCATTATTAAATCATAGGTAATTTTTAAAGTGCTTTTAAATAGCCGTCATCCAAAAAGGCATTTAAGGCTTCAACTTAATCGTTAAAAATTTTATTTCTTATATATTTATCATCACTTAATCTTACTATTATTTCCATAAATTAGTATCTTATTAAACCTTTATCGGGATTTCGATTATTTTTTTTGAATTTTGTACTTGAATTAGTTACTACAAATTTAAAATCTAAATCTCTTATCTTCAAGTTTACATTATCTATTATTTATGTCTCATTTATGAAATCGTTAAAGTTATTAAATTATATACAAGGAACATCCATTATCGAACCATATGAAGATAAATATCTATATGTATTATAAATATAGGGATAAACTCCTTTTAAAATAATCTTTATTTTTTATAATTATGTTTCTGTTTTAACTATTTAGTTTATTTTGGAACACTCCCAATCAATTTCAAAACATTTTATAAATAAATCCTTCATTGATTATTTTTAAAATTTAAAAAACAAAATTAATTTTTTTTACTTCACTATCAAATTTGAAATCTTTAAATAAAGAATATTTAAGATTCCATTCTTATTTTATATCTTATTGTGTATTATATAGTCTTTAATAAAATATTCGTGGTCGTAATTAAATTAATGGATTATAATCATCTTAAGTATCTATTATTTTTTCATATTTATTATATTAAATGAAGTTAAACTCTTTTATTTGAATTGTTTTTTGTTCATTTTCAAAAAATATAAGATTGTCAATTTGAGAAAAATAATCGCTTTAAATTTCTTTTTAAATTTCATCAATAAATTATTATTTATATTTTTTAATTTATTTTTGGTTGATTTTCTCATCTTTTAACTTTTGTTGTAATTTTTATATTTTTTTGTTTTTCTCTTCTTATATTTCAACTATATTTTAATATATAAATGAGTTTCTAAATTAATTTTTGGTATATTCTAATTACACATGAACATTTTTCTATATATATATATATAATAAATTTATATATTTATGATACCTTATAAATAGGTTAACTATTATCTATTGTGTATTTAAATAATCCATCAAAAGTAAAGAAAAATTTAATTAAGCATTTACTTGGAATCATTTTTTTTAGAAAAAAAAATCCATCCCCTTTGTTCATTTTAGCTGCTTTGTATTCATCAACTTCAATATGAATATATATAACTTTTAATTAAAAATCATTATTTTTAAAATAAAAAGTGTGTTCTATCCATCCTTCACAAATCCAACAATTATCTCCATTTCTAAAGTTGAGGTCTTATTCAACTTAAAATATATTAATATTATAGTTCTTGAACCTGCATCCATCAATTCTTTTATTAAGAAAACTTTAAGGATTATATTTTTGAAGATCTTTGGCATAAAGCTAATTTATAAATCCTTCAGAATTTACAAAACATTAATGCCCATCAAAATGAAAGCCTATTATTGAATTATTATTTTTTATTTAATTTGAAAAAATAAGGCAGTCTTCAATTTGAAAATTGTTATTTCTCAAATCTAAATGAATTATGCTTTTTTCATTATTTTCACGAAACAATTTATTTAAGCTTTCTCCAAATTAACTTTTGGTATTTTTATTACTTTTACCCAAAAAATTATCTGATAAATCTAATACTTTCACATTTTGGCTTATTCGACAAGCGTCTATTATTAATGCTCCGCCTTCTCCTTATATTTCGTTTGTATTTATATATAATTCTCGGAGATTTTCTATATTTTATATCATTTATTCAATACTATAACAACTTCTATTTCCTATATAATTATTCGAAAGGTTCAGTATTCTGAGAGATTTTATAAATTACAATCCTGTACATAATAAATCTACTGATTAATCAGATAAATGGGTTTTTTCAAGTTTTAACACTTATAGGTTAAATTAAAAATTATCATATTTTTCTAAAAATTATTATATGTTAAGTAATGAAATAGAATTTTATGAAAAGTCTATTTATTTAGTTGATATATCAAAACTTTCTATTAATTTATTCATTCCTATTTCTGATAAATTGTTATCCTTACAATTTAAAATATCAATACTTTTTAGTTTATTTAATCCTTCACAAAATATATTTATTTTTTAATCCCCTAATTTAAAATTACTTTTATTATAAAAAAATAGTTTTTAATTTAAAAAAAAAAATACTTTATATTTAAGTGGTTTTAATTTCTTCCAACTTTCACTATTCCAACTTTTAGAGGTAAAAAATTATTATTATTTGAAGTAATTAGCATAGAATCAATCGGAGAGTTTGGTCTTTTTTTAAGAGTATTCATTTCTATTAATTTATTTGTATTTTTTAGAGTTTTTACAAATGTTTTTTAAGAACTTTCTTTAGTAGTTTCGTTTCTTTCTTCATTTATTTATTTTAGTAACTTCGGTTATATTTTTTTTGTTGGAATATGTGTACATCTTTTTTAAAGTTTATAATGTTTCATCTTTTTATTTTTCTTTTATTTATATGTAATTTAAAAATATAATATTTTTATTTTATCGCTTTTCTTAAGGACTCATTGGCCTTAGCCTTTACTTTTTAATTGGAGATATAGATTATTATATTTTGTAAGGACTGTTTGAACATATTTTTTTTGGTATTAATGTCTTTTATAAAAAATCCTTTATTTAAATTTTCTTTATACTTAAGTCTTCATTTAATTTTTTTGGAAATAGATTTGGTATCAAGTTTTGATTTGTTTATAAAAATTAACTGCCTTTTGATTATATTTTTTAATTAATTTGAAATGGAATCGACTTTATTAATTTCTTTTATTCAATTATTGTATTACTTACAACCATATTTCTTTTTAGAGTTTATATAGTTTTTTTATGGTTATACCGTTTAAAGTTTTTTATTTAATTAATTATTTTTTTTAAATTTAAAAAAATATTTTTAAAATGCAAATAATTATCATCTAACTACATACATTATTTTTTTATTAAAATATTTATAAATAGTTAGAAAATTAAAGATATTTTTAATTTTAAAATTATAAGCTAGATTTTTATAGGCACAATAATTTTCTTAGATAAAAAATAATATAAAGAATTAATAATAAATATTTAAATGTAAATAAAATACTAGGACTGTAATAGAGAAGAAATTATTAAGTTTTTATAACAAATAATTAAAAAAATAATAGCAGGCAAATTATTTATAACAAATTAGTGTAAAAAAGAATTTAACTAAATTTTATTTTTAAAAGTAAACTATATAAAAAATTAATAATATAAATACAAAATATACTTAATATAAAAAAAAAAAATTTGCTTGGATTTAAATCGAAGTTTCATAAAGAAATATTGAATATTTAGCATATAATTTCAACCTAAAAATTTAAAAGAAATGAAGGGCTAAACTAGTATAGAAAAATTTTTTATCCAGTTTCAAAAAAAAAATAAGCATACATAAATTTTTTTTAATTCCATATAAATATTTTGAAAGTAATACATTACTGTTTTAATTAGTTTAATGATTTTAACATTTTTTAAATTAAAATTGCTTTTTTAAATAGATTATAAGTAAATATTATTAAAAATAAATTTAAAAATTATTTTAAAAATACTAGATTATAAATAGAAAATTATTTTAAAAATAAATATATTGGATACAATTCTAAAATTATATGCTCTTTTTTATTTATATTGATTTTTTACAATAAAAAATCAAAATAATAAGAAAATATTTATTTATATATTAATAAATTTTTATACTATACTTTATTTAATTTCAATAAATTAAAATTAAATAATTTTATATTATAATTATGATTTTATATAAATTTATTAATGTATAAATTATTATAATAGTAATAAAACCTTAAATTTAATTTTTAAATAATATCTTTCATTTTTGATATTTATTATTAAGAAAATAAATTTATTTATAAGATTAAATAATTAAAATTTTTAAAAAATATATATTAGGTTTTTATTATAATATAAATTTATATTATTTTATTTAAATTTAATTTAGTTTTTATTTTTATTTTTATTTTTTATTTCTATTTTTTATTTATTATTATTTATTTTATAATTTTAAAATTTCACATTTTTATAATAATTCATTTTATTACTATAAAATAGACTTTTTCATTTAAATTCAATTGAAATAAATTATTTAATATAAAAATTATATTATAAAAATTAAAAATCATTTCATATTTTCTAAAAATAGTATTTTAAATGAAAATTAAAAAAAAATGTTATTTAGATTTGTAAATAATAAAAAACAGTATTAAGGTTTTTTAATAATAATAAATAAAAATTTATAATTTTCATTATAAATAAATTTATATTTTTTATAAATTATATTATTAATTTTAATATTATAAAAAAAACCTTTTAATTTATATTAATTAATTTTATAACAATAAAAAAATATTTTATTATTTTTTTAAATATAATTATTAAAGAAAACAATTTACTTAAATAAATTAAAAGTAGGTTAATTTTATAATTTTTCTCCTCATATAATTTTTAAAAAAAATATTATAACAATTTTAAAAAACCTGGATATTGTAACAATTTTTTTTTAAATAATATAAAAAATGAAAAATTTTAAATTATTTTTTTACAATTTTCTTAATTATTTTATATATATATATATGAATTCGTAATTTATAACACATAATTTTAATATACTTACAACATTTGAAATATATTGTGTATAATATAATAAAAAATAATATTTAACATATTTATTTCTGTTATTATTATTATAATTTTTTTTTTAATTATATATATGATTAAAAATAAGTTATTTTTATATAATAATAGAAAAAATATAAAAATCTATATTTAAAAAAATAAACTAAAATAAAAATTTTAAATAAAAATTAAAAAATACTTTAGCTTATAATAAATATCAATATAATAAATTTATTTTTCAAAATAAATAATAAAACATAAAATAATAATTATTATTTTAATATTATAAAAAACAGTCAAATAAAATGATATAAGCATTATTCACAATTATTTATATTTTGTTAGCAATATTAATTTAATCCAAGCAATAATAAGAATAGGAAAGTTGCAAGAACTAAATATATTAATACATTAAAAATATCAAAGCAAAGTCTTAATGCGATTATCTTTAAGTTTCAAACTAATAAGGGGAATATTTGATTCAAATAAAAGTTTTATTTTCTTAACAATAACAAACTAATATAGAGCATAACTGCTTAAAAAATAACATACAAATAAATACTTTAATAACAAATTCTTAAACAAAATAACTTGAACTAATAAACTAAAAGTAAATATTAGAAAAATCTTAAGAAGGTCAAGTAATATAGATACTTATTAATGAAATTCCTAACTATATGATAAGTGAAAACATAAATGAAGTCGAAAATCTATTATATGATGAATAAATAAAGGATTCTAAAAAAATAATAAAGAGAATATATTAAGTAATACAATTTTAATTTTAATATTCATACATAAACGATTAGTCTATAAAAGCTGAAGAATAACTATAAATCGTTATTTATACAGATGATACTTAAGTTTAGGTATTCGATTTTAATATTGGAAAAGTAACAATTGATGACAAAGGAACTAATGCTATTGTCGATTTGGATATTTAAGGAAGAATTTGTGAAAAAAAAGATTGCTAGGAAACAAAATTAAATCCTGTTTTTAAAGTAGGAGAACATATGTTTGTAAAAATAGAATTCACAGACAGCAGCTATTCCAGATTTTTAGATTTAAGTAAAGTTTTGTATAAAAATAATATTTCTGTTTTGGAATTGACAAAATTCACCAAAGTTATTTAACCTTAAGATAAAGGATATATTATTTTAGATATTGAATTGATAGAACCTGGCGAGGATTCATATATCCTTATTAATGTTGTTGTTAGAGCGCCAGAAAAAAGTCTTAGAAGTTTAGATATTAATGGTTAGAGTTTATTGGATGAATTGAAATAAATTCAAAAGTCTGTTTTTAGTATATAGGTTATTTCAGATGAAATTTTAGAAAATAATAATGAAAGCTTTGCAATATTTAATTCATTTAAAATTATAGGATATTTGCTTTTTGCTATTATTTATGTTTGATTTAATTAATCATTTCTTTAATATCTTTCTTATTAATTACTTTTTGTTTATTAATATATACTATATAAATATTGAATTTTATTTTAGTAAATTATTAAATTTTATTTGTAATTTTTTTAGTTTATTATATTTAAGATATATAAAATTTCAGTTTAAATAAATTACATTTTGATTTAATAAAATTTAATATAATTTTTTATCACACAACTATAAAAATAATATTTATTTTTTATTTAATTTATAAAATTACAATTAAAATATTAAAGTTATTTTCCATTAAGTTATTATTTATTTAATATAATAAAAAGAAATTAAAAATTTTATTTAGAATTTAATGTAATAAATAGAAATTAAAATTTTATTTACATTTATTCAATTTATATGAATATTATGTATATATTATATATTTATTTTTATTTTTAGTTTATATAATTTATAAATAAATTAATTTTAACTTTATATTTTAATGAAATATTTTCAAAATTAATTAATATTGTGCAGTAATTTTAAATAAAAATTTTTAAATAAAATATTAATAGAAAAACATTTAAATTAATATTAATAATATATCCTGATAAACTAAAATTCAAAAAAATAAGGTAATAAAAAATGGGAATTTTTAATTTATGAAAAAAAAAAAACAGTAAAAAAATTAAATTTAAAATTTAGTTTTTAACAAACAAAATATTAATTATTAATAATATATGTTATTATTACATTTTTATTTGTTATAATTGATTTGATTTTTCTAAAATATAAAAAAAAAATAGTTATTTTTTCGAATGAATCTCTTAATTCTGTATTGTTTTTTATCTTTTATTAAAGCATGAATTTTTATCATTTTTTTGAAATATTTTAGGAAAATAAAGTAAAATTATATTATTTACACTATTTATATGTTTTTTTTAGTATACTTTTTGATTTTAATTTTTATTTATGTATAGAAATAGAAAAAATATTTCTAACTTATTAGAAAATTCTATTTTTAAATTAAAAAAAGATTTTATAATTACTATGATATTTTCTTTGTATTTTTTTACTAAACAAATATTATGTTTATAATATAATTAAAATAATATAGTTAATATTTGGCTATCAACAATAGAATTTAAGTCAAAAATAGAAAAAACCTTGATTTTTAAAAATAAAAAAATACCGAAACTTGAATAAAAGAACTAAAAAAATTAATAGAAAAAATATATTAAAACTTTTAAATCTTATGTCTGAGACTCTGAGACTGATTTAAAAAATTCTTAATTTAAATATGTATATTTAAATAATATGTTTAAGTAAAATTTAAATTGTAAATGAATTTAATTGTTTAAATTATATTTAATTTAGCAATAACGAAAATATGAAGTAAAATAAGAAAATTATCATTATTTATTTTAAAAGAAATGAGGATATTAATAAAACTTTTAATCATAAAGAAAAAAGAAAAAAAACACAAATATTTACTAATGTACTATCGAAAATTTAGATAGAAAATAATAAAAAAAAAGTTATTGATTTTTTAAATTTGAAGAAAATTATGTTACAAAGAATATATTAAAATAAGAAAATATTATGAATAATTTTATAAATAATTAATTTTAAAATAATTATAAAATTCAAAAATTCCAATATTTCATAAATTATAATACAGTAAATATATTATTAAATTTATTTTTTAAGTTAATTAATAATTTAATAAAAAGTTAACATTTAAAAATTATATTTAAATTATAAATTTGATTAAAAATAAAATTTAAAAATTCGCTAAAAAAAAAAAAAGGAAAACTATCAGATTCTATTCAATAAAAATAATATGTGTTTCTCAAATAAATTAAATGTAGAAATAATATTGATATTTTTTATATAATAATGATAGTATATTAATTGGCATATTTAAAAATGAAATAAATAAAATTTTATATAAAAAAATAGAAAAAATAAATATGTAAACTATTAATTTCATATTAGTTAATTAAAAGAATAACAAAATTTAAAGAAAATAATAGATTCTTATCAATATCGATATATTATAAGTAATTTAAAATTTTATTTCAAATGCTTCAAAATTAATTAATGAAGTATTTATTTATATAGGCTACATTATTTTAAAAAATGATGTTTATTAATAAAAAATAAAGAATATGAATTATTTGATGTATTTGAATTAGCAGTTGAAGATATAGGAAATAGGAATCAGAATTTCATAAAAAATATACAAAGTATGTATATTTACTATATTTAATAAGTCTATTCTTAAAATACAAAAACCTAAGGATAAGAATAAGGTTTGACTATTTATAATAGTATTACAAAAGGTTTAGAATAAAGAAGTTAAAATTATATAAAATTTGAGTCTTATTAAGGAAATGTTGTAAATATTCATTCCTAATTTTTCAAATAAAATAAAAACATATATTCAAAAAGAAGTATAGAGCAAGTTTAATCTCAATTTGTTAGAAACGTAATAATAATAAATTAATTAATTAGTATATTTAAGTAGTAAATAAAATAGTAATATTTATGATTCTTGTAATATTTATGAATCTTTAAAAATAAACTTGTAATGTTTATGAATCTTTAAAAATAAATAAAAAAATAATAGTTCTTAATATAAACTCAAATTTTTACACTAAAACAATTAGAAAAATATATCAATATTGGATAGAAAAATCCCTAGAGTGCTTAAATAATAATTTTAGATGATTGTATTTTTAATATTTATGCATTATCTAAATTTGTGGGTTTATCATTTAATTTAATAGTTATTGCTGTTGTTCAGAAGAATTCATATGGATATTGAAATGCAAATCATTAAACCTCTAAAGAAATAACAAAAAATTTTAAATAATAAATAAGTTTTTAATTAATCTTTTATTATTTTTTGCACTGCTTTTATAAGATTAGAAAATAAAAAAATTATCTTCTTAAAGGGAATGGATGATTTTATAAATAAGGATTAGAAAATGTAGTTTAACATTATTAGCATATTTGATTTAGTAATAAATTATTACTTTTTTTATAAATATAAAAGTTGTACATATATTAATATTATTTTTTTAGTATTAAAAATATCAAATATAAATAATTTTAATAAAAAAAATATATAAATATATAAAATATAATAAAAGAAATATTTTCATTTATTTTTACTTTTTTTTTTTATTTTTATTTTGTATAGTTTTCAAGTCTTTGTTGTCATAAATATTATTATATTTAGTTTTAATAATGAATCCAATAGAAATCTTTATCATAAAAAGTGTCCAATAAATATGCATTCCGTATAAAATAACAAGTTAAATAAGTAAATACCAATATCCATATTAAATAATATCCCTATAATTTTTTTAAAAATCAAAATATAACAATAAATATATATTTATATATTATAGTGATTATTACCATGCTTATAATTATCCAATATTTTTCCAACAAGTATAGATTACGCAAGAAGGGAAAATAACTAATCTACTTGAAATCCAAACAAATAAAGCTGAAGTAACAATTAAATATAAGACATATTTAGATTTGAATTTCATTTCACAATAAGCTCTTCCTCCTGCAATAATAATATCTCCAACATCATGTAAAATTAAAACAAGAACTGAAACATATAGTATATTGAAACTTCCGCTATAAAAAATAAGACCAGCAGCCATAAAATGATGTAAAGTATATTCATAAAATTTCTATTCTTCTTTTCTTCTCAATAATATTAATTCTAAAAAAGAAAATAAATGGTTTCCAAATTAAACCATATGATATATCACTAAATATTCACTTCCTTGACTATCTTGATATATTGGATAATTTTAATATAAATTTTTGCATTCTCCATGCCCTCCTAAGAAACTTGGCATCCAAGGAGCATCTTTAAAAGCCCATAAACTAAAAGCCTTTTTTTTAATTAATTTGATTTTTTAAATTTATTTTGATTTTATTTATAATTTTTTTTACTGTTGTTGATGAGTAATACAAAGTATCATATATCCATTTTAATATTTTGTTTGCTCTTTACTCTCTTTCTATTCCTTTATATTTATCATTTAGTTTATCATTTGTCCATTCATAACATGATATTTTTATTAAATTTTTTAGAAACTTATTTTTTATTTATGAATAATATAAGAATTTGCTTGTTTTTTTTTTATACAAACAATAGAAAAATAACTATAAATGATATTGTATAATAACTCCAAGGAACTACTTAAATATTATTTTCTTAAGCATATTATCTGAATTTTAGAACCGATACGAAAAAAAATGAAAAAGCGAAAATTACTATAGAACCTAAAAACTTGAAAAAAGTTTCAAAATCTTATATCAATATAAATTATTTTAATTTCTTTGAAAAGTTTATAGCGGCTATTTTTACAGATGAAGCATTAGATTCTTCTTAAATTTATAGCTTTTAGTTCATATGAGATTATGCTTTCATATATTTTCTTTTTTCGTAATTAATAATGAGAAATTTAACAAAAAAATAATTTAATTATTAATTATAAAAAAAGATAAATAATATATATATATATAAATTTAAATAAAAAATTATACTATTAAATATTTATATTTTTATTTAAATAAAATTTCTTTTTATTTATTATATAATAATATATATTGTTTTATACATTTTTTTTTCCTTTTATGATAATAAATTATAAATTTTACTTATATTATGAAACATAATATATTATTTGTTCAAATATAATTTTTTTAAAATAATAATTATTATAAAATTATTTATCTTTCTAAATATAATTTATATATGATTTTTAAATTATTACTTTAATTAAATATTTGATATTTTACTTTTATCTATAAAAAATTTATTTAAATTATGAATTTAATTATAAAATTATTTTATAAAATAATAAGTGCTTTATTTAATACTTAATATTTTTAGATATTTTAATAAATAATGTTTATTATAATAATTTATTTTTATATTTTTCAAACCGTATATTCTTATCTTATGTTATTTAAGAACTTTTAGTATTAAGAATTTTAATTTTCCATTTCTTTCATTATTGAAATATTATTAATATTTTTATTTCCATTTTTATTAAAAAAAAGTTTACAAATGATTTAATATATTAATTATATGAAATTTAGATTTTTTAAAATTTTTATAAAGTGTTATTATTCTTTTAAGTTAAGATAGATCAATAAAATTATCTAAATCTTGTAATATTTTAATGAATTTTTTTATTTTAATTTATTTACTTCTAATATTATAAAAACATAAGAAATTTCTTTTTGATTAAATAAGATTTAATTTTAAAATACTTTTGATGATGTAAGAACGAGAATAATGCTTCCTTACCTTATAGTAATTACAGTTTCAAATATTTTTTATTAAAGTATGTATTTTTTTATAAATAATAATAAAATTATATTTAATTGTAAAATAGAAATAAATTTTCATATTAATTATTTTTATAACATAAACTTCTAAAATTATTATTTATTAAGGATAAATCTTTATCTTAAATATTTTTATATAGGATATAATTAATACTTTTTTTGAATAATGTTTATTTTGGTTTTAATATTTTAGATTTTTAAAAGTCTAAATATTTTTTAAAATTTTTTATTTAGATTTTTTTTTGGAAAAAAATCAGCTTTTAAGAATATCTTTATAATTAAGGATTATAATTAAATGCTTTTTATTTTTTTAAAATAGATACATAATTTTTGTTGTTGAAAAATTAAATAATGAAAAAAAAAATATTTATTTTAATTTTGATAAAAACTACTCATAATTAATTAAATTCCTATTTGATTTTTTATATTTGATGCATTAAAGTTTATATAAATTTATTAAGCAATTAAAAATAATTAAAAATATAGTGTTAAATTGAAAAAAAAAGTATAAGAAACTAAAAAAATAAAAAAAATTATTTATATTTAATTTTTTTATAAAAATTCTTCAAATTTAAAATTTTTATAAAAATTCAAAACAAAATAAAAATTATTAATTTTCTTATTTTTTATATTTAAATTCTTATCTAAAATATTAAATGGATTGTCTTTTTAATTCTTTAAACATAAATTCCTTCAAATTTTCTTCCTTATTTTAACAATCCAAATTTTTTTTTAAAAAGATCTCAATAATTTTAGCTGTTTAATAATTGAATTCTAAAGTCTTTTCTGGGTATCTAATCATTTATGATAAACTAAGTTCTTTTAAACAAATTAAAGAAATATCTCCTTATTAGACATGATCCGTATTTTTAATAAAGCACATTAAAGTATTTTCTGGATTGTTATTGTTTTAAAATATTTGATTACATTTTATTTATCCATCACACCAATACTATTTGCTTTTGCTTTTCTAAAATTTTATATAAATAAAAAAATAAAAATTACTTAAAAGTTTCTGAATTTATATATAAAGTTGGATTATTAAATTTAACTTTAAAAAGTTCATTTTTTAAGGGAAAAAGCCAAGGATCTAAACAAATAATCGAAAATATCTATTTTGGAAATTTAAATAATAAATATTATGCAGTGCAACCTCCAAAAGAATATCCCATACTAATCACTTTATCTAATTCTAAAGAAACATTTTCATTAAAGATGTCATTTATTTATTATTTGTCATTTATCAAATTTAAAACTTATTCAATTATATTAATTCTTATTTCTAATTCTAATTATTTAAACTCTTTATGTTATTGAACTTTTTCGTTTTATGAATCCTTTGTTAGTTTTTCTTCAATTAAAATATCATTATGTTATGGAGCAAATACTATATAACTATTTTTTTAAATGTTTATGAATATAAATATAAAAAATACCCTAAAGAAACTAAATGCTTAATTAAGATAGATTAACTGTTTCTTGAACAAATATATCCATGCGAAAAAATAATAGGGATAAATGTCTTTTTAGATTAAATCAGCTTAGAATCGGACTGAACTTTAATAGAGATTTTTCTATAAAAGGAAATAAAAGGTAGTATTAGAAATTTCGGAATCTTATGCTTTGTGTTTATTTTATGAAGAATATTTTCCCAATAATCGAATTAGAGCATATATTAATCTTTACTTATTCCAAATTCCTCTGTTGGATAAAATATACTTACATAAGTATTGCTTTGTTTTAATTTGTATTCTTTAAATCCTGTTTTGATTGTTTGATTTTCAGTTAATTTTGTTTCTAGAGGTAAATCATAAATTGGAAATACAAATTGGAATAAAAAATACATGGAGGAAAATATAAATGATATTATTAGCATTATTTGAGATTTTTGTATAAAATTGTAGATTACAAGAAATATGAAGGATATTAAAAAGAATATTAAGTTACCCCTATTTCCTTCTTGTATTGTTTTTAGAGTAAAAACAGAAATTAATAATATTATATTTAATAAATTCTTTTTTTAGGCGATATTATAGAAGTTAATATATTAGTAGATTAAAAATAATGAAAATATTAATATTTCAAAAAAACTATATTTTTTTCTCATTTTTATATATTTATTTTTTTATTATTTTGTGGTATGTAAATTTTTTAATATTAATGTGATTTATTAATTAATATTTTTATTTTTTTGATTAAATGGAACATATATAATTAATATTTTTTTTTTAATATTAAATTTGCGCCTTTTTAAAAATTAAATACAAATATGCTAATTTCTATATATTTAAAAATCAAAAAAAAAAAAATTACATAAAAAAGACCTACTTTTTTGTTTAAAAAAAATAAAAAATGAATTCCATATTAGAAAACATAGATTAAAATAGCGATTAAATATATTAAAAAATTTTATAAATAAGGTATTTTAATAAATATAAAATAAAAAAAATGAAAAAATAGTTAATTAAAAGATTAAAAAGCAATAAAAGAAGAAGGAAATTTTATTTTAAATTATATTCAAAAAGCTTACATTGAGAAAAAAATATCAAAAAAAAATTAAAAAAATCTTCTGGAAAGTGTAAAAACAATTGAAATATTAAGAAAAAATTAGAAAATAAAAATTGATATGGATACTTTAATATTAAAAATAATCTATATTATGAACGAAAATGAAGAAATCAAAGAAGGATTAATGTTAACTAAGTATTATGTTTAATAATTAGAAAAAAAAAAGAAAATAATAATTCTTTTGATTATAATTTATTTTATAATGATTTAGAAAAAGCTCTTATTCTAAATTGTTTTAAAGAAAAAGATAAAAAATTATTATAATTAATGCTTTTAAGAGCTCAATTGTTACTTAAGATAGGAAAAGGTGTTGAAATATATGATGAAGTACGAAATATAATGAAAGTTTCCGAAAAATACTTTCCTGAAATAAAAGAAATATACACTTTGAGACATAAAGGGGTACTAAATTAGCTAAAGCAATTGTAAAAAATAAGTAATAGAGAAGAAGAAAAAGATTTCTATGTAAATTTAGTAAATGTAAATGAAGATTTATTTATTGGAATGTTAACTGAATTAATAATATAAAAAAAAGATGAAGTATATGGATAAAATTTTGTAATAGAAATAATATAAAACATACCAGAAAAATGGCTAGAAAAAGAGAAGATATAGAATATAGTATAAATTTTATGCAATAATATTGAAAACGAAGAAACAATGGAAAAAATAATTGTGTTTTTTATTTATATGGAAAATACAAATTTAAAAAATATAGGTATTCTGATGAAAATCAGTAGGGATTTAAAGGAAGAAAAAGAAGGAGTTTTTTGGAAAAAGAAAGGGAAAATTCTTTATCGAAAATTTATGAAGAGGACGTTTTTGAGAATTCTTTTAAGCATTTTGAAAAAATAGAATTTGATAAATAAAAAATGTCTGTTTTTTAATAGAATTTCTGTATTAAAATTTTTAATTAAATTTAAGATATTAAATCAATGTTTTTTAATAATTTTTTAAATTAAAAATAAATTTTGGAATTTATTTAGAATAAAAAAAAAATTCTTTGGATTAAAAAGATTTCTTAGAAGATGATACTACATAAGGAATTCAAGTTTAAGAAAATAATTCTTTTTAAGGCTTTAATTAAGATTATTTATATATTTTAAGTATTTAGAATATCATTTGTGATTTTTTAGGAAAATAAGAAGTTAAGTAGTTAAATTTATATTTTTTCTTTCTTTATTATGTTAGAACTTTTTAGTAAAAAATACATTTCTTTTATAAATTTGAGGTTAGAAATTTACAATTTGAATAAGTTTTGGCTTGTTTAATTCAAGATGCACTTTTTATAGATTCAAAAGATAATTAGGAATCACTTTTTGCATTTTTTTGTATTGTTTTTGCTACTTTTTATGAATAAAAGTTGCTTTTTTAATAACACTATATTCCTTATTTAAACTCTTTGGTTTAAAATTTAAAAACTATAACTTAAGCAATAAAACTGATATAACTTTTTGAAAATTTAAAAGATTTAGAAATAAAAAATGGTGAGAAAATATACTAAAAGATTGAAGAAATACTCAATAGAGTATAAAAAAAAGAAGAAAACTATTATTATTTGATAAGTTTATTATTTTTTTAAGAAAGAGAATAATTAATTTATCAAGAGACAGATTTTTATAAAATGTTAAATTTTTTGTTAGAAATTTAGACAAAAAAATAATTGAAAATAATAATACAATTGAAAACTTAGAAAAATTAAGTATTTTAATAAAAAGAAAAGCCTAAGAAAACAGAGAAAATGAAGTTTTAATTTTAATTGTTTATTTAGAATTTCTTTATTTTTTATTTGAAAAAAAACAGAAAATTTTTTAATAAAATAAAAATAATATTAGTGATGATAAAGATTTTTTCTTGAATGCTTTTTTTATAGTTTTTTCTATTAATAATTAAGAAGTTTATATTTAGGAATTTCTCTTCAATTAAAAATTGTGTTTTAATAAAATTCTTTAGATTTCTCTTATTTAAATTTTGTAAAAAATTGAAGAAAGTTAAAATAAAAAATCACTTTTATTAGAAAAATGTAGTATTGTTTTAAAACTTTGTAGTCTTTTGGTTTAAAAAAATGACTTCTTTTATTAAGAGAAAAAAGAGGAAATTAATAATTTCATGTTTTTGAATTAAAATTCCATTTTTTTTAAAGAAATAATACTTCTTATGTAAGATTTAAATGATTTTTTTGCCTCTTTTCTTGATTTTTTTGAAGATTAATTTTCTTTTGAATACTTTAATTAGGTTTTAAATTGGAAAGAAAGTACTTTAGTTAAATTTTTGGAAGAAACTTTTCAAAAAAAAGATATTATTTATTAATAAACATTCCTGTAGACGCTTTATTGTGTAAAAGAAACAGCCTTTTATTATGGATTTTATGCTTTATTAGAGAAAGTGAGTATTTTTTTATATACTTTTTATTTATATTTGGAAAAGAAGCATTCAAATGATAATCTATTGTAAATTTTTAAGGAAATATGTTTATGTGAAATAGCTTTTTGTTTTAAAAAAAGTGAAAAATTTTAAGATTATGAGAAAATGGAAAATTTTTTGAAGAAAAATTCACTTTTTTACTAATAAAAAAGAAAGAAGGAAATTTTAGAAGGATATAATTAAAATACTCAATTTTTTCTTTTTGAACTTTTTTATAAATTTTCTTTAGTTTTTTTTTAGGATGAAAATAATGATTTTTTTTTTCAAAAAAAGATAAAATTTTCTATTTTGAGTTCTTAAGTTTAAAACATGAATTAGTTTTTGTTAAAAAAAATAAGAAAAATTCCATTTTATCTTTATTTAAAAATATAGAAATTTTTAAAAATTTAATTTCGTTTTGCTTTTTAAATGCAAGAGGAAATTTATAAGATATCTTTGGGTAAAAAGAACTTTCAGTTTATGAAAATAATTACTTTAAAGAAGATAATACAACCATTTTTTTAAAAAAATAAGATTAGAACTAAACACTCCAGTTCATTTTGAATAGAAGCCTGCTTAAAACTCATAAATCAATTCATTTTTAAATGATTTTCGTTCTAAAAGAGATTATAAAGATTTTAAAAAAGCTTAATTTTTGTAATTAAATAAACATTTATTTAAACATTATGGAAATTTTCAGTATTAGAACTTTAAATATTCAAAGTTTATATACTATAGGGAGATTTGAATTTGAAAAAATAGATTAAAAAAGTTCTTTTTTGGATGCATTTTTCGAAAATATTTTTCAGTTTAATTTTTGGATGTAAAAAAATCGTCGAAAATCATTTTATTATGAAAAGCTGTCTTCTTTTTTGAAAAATTTAAAGGAAAATTTAGAAAAAAAAAATTATTTTTTAAAAAACTCTTTACTTATTTTAAATTCAGTAAAATTTTTTGTTTGTTTTTTTGAAAAAAGTTAAAAAAACTGTAAAAAAATAGAAATTTCGGCTTGTTTTTTCCTCTTTTTTTTGAAAAAAAAACAAGAGTTTTTCTTAAAAAAACGCCATTTGGATTACCCAAAAGAAATTTTGGAACTTTTAGCTTTTAAAAATAAATTTTCGGATGTTTTTGATATTATATAAAAACTCAAAAATATAAATTTCAGACAACTTTTGATAATAAAAGACTTCTTTGTACTTTAATCTTTATAATTATTTCATTAAAATTAATTGGAAGATAATTTTGGAGAGTTCTTAGGAATTTTCTAAATTTATAAAGTCATTAATTTGTTTTTCTTTAGCTTTTTTGCCTGTTTTGATTTAGAAAACGCAAGAATTTTTTATTATTTATATATTAGATTTGATGAAAATATAAGATTTAAAAGCTTGTAAAATAACGGCAAGGTTTTTTAGGATGAAAATGAAGGAAAAAAAGAATTTTTTTTAAGTGCAAAATTGCTTGGATTTCAATTTTGGGCAAAAAAAAAGAACTTTTTAATGAAAGAAGAAAAATCAAGTATTATTTTGGAAGGAGAAAATAAGAAGAATTTTTTGTTAGAAATGGAAGACTAAGAAGATGAAAAAAATATGAAAAAATTCGAAAACAAAATTAAAAATGACATTATATTATTAAATTATTTCGATTTTAATAATGAGAGAGTCCTTTTAATTAATAAATATAATTATTTTTCTAAAAAATATACTATTTTTAGAATAAGTTGTTAAAAATAAATGAATTATTTTAAGGATTTTCTTTAAGAGTGTTATAAAATATATAATAGTAATTAACAGGATATGAAAGATGAAGAAAAAAAAAGAAAATCGTAAATAGATCCAGATATTTGGTGGAAAAATAGACATAATAATGATAAATAATTAAATAAGCTTTTGTCTAACTTTTAGTCTATTTTTGACTTTTTCATAGTAATATTTTTTTAATTTATTATTTTATTTTATATATATATATTTTTTAGTATATCTTCTTTAGCTATAATATTTACTCTTAATAAGATTAAGAACTTTTCGATGAAATTAATTTAGCTTTTTAAGATGAAGAAATAAAAAATGAAGATTTTTTATATAATGGATTCTATTAATAAGAAAAAGATAATTTTATAGAACTTTTCTTTTCTATATTAAGAAATAGTTAATCATTTAATATAAATGAAATTAAATTTAGATCTATTTTTGACTAATATCTTCTATATAATTGTTATTTATCAATTCTTTCTTAAAAATAACAAGAAAATATATACAAAAAGCTTATTTAAATAAAATTAAAATTAAAAAATATTTAGGAAGTTGAACTAAAGCCCATTATATGGTAATTAAGTGAAAATATAGCAAATATCCCATTTGAATATATGTAAATATTTGAAGATAAGAAATAAACTTTTTATAGAATTCCTTCAATCGAATATTTAGTAAATAATTTAAAAAGTTAAATTAATTAAGTTAATTTTTCACACTCTTTTTATTTATTAAATCCTTCAGGAGATTTATAAACTACTTAAGTAAAATTTTAAAAAACTTTTCAAAAGTAAATTTATCATTATTTAAAAAATAACTATAAACAATAAATAAAAATAAAGTATTTATTCTTGGACTGGTGTTGCTGGAGAACCAATTAGTAGTTAGTTTTTATAAGAAGTACTTTAAAAATATTAATCTTACATATATATTGGACATGGGGCAGGTGAACGATATATAAGTTAAAAAGAATTAGCAATTTAAATAAAGTCTTCAGTTCTTTTATTTGGATGTTAATCTGGTAAATAAGTTGAATTGAAAAATGATACCCTAGAATTAAATGGTTTGAGTTTGTTTTATCTTATTAATAATTGCAAAAGTCTTATTGGTAGTCTTTGGGATATTACAGATAAAGATGCTGATAGAATGGTCAAATAAATCATTTAAATTTTTTTGGATTAGAGTACTGTTGATAAACCTATAAATTTTGCTTTAGTTTTATTGGAATCTAGAAAGTATTTTTTATATATTTTAAATTATTTTTATTAAACTATATTTATTTAGCAAATGTAAACTTAAATATTTAAATGGATCTGTATTTGTATGTTATGGGGTTCCTTCCTATTTTTATATGTAAAGATGATTCATTATATCATTTTTATATGTCTTTTTTGATAGAATAAAATATTTATGTATAAACTTTCGTAAATTTGTAATATATATTATGCTTTTATATATAATAAAATTATATGAATAATTATTATTATTTTATTTTTCTTATTTTTTGGTTAAAGGTTTATTTTAAAAAAATAATTTTATCAAAATATTAAGCAAACAAATTTTATTTACTAAACAAGATGACATAAAAAAATTATCTATTTAATACTTTTTATATTTTTATTTATTTTCAATCAAATTATTAATCTGTTAATTATAAATTAATTTTGCATTCTTAAGATAATGAATAATCGAAAATAAATAATTAATTGTTATTCGTTTATTCTTCATAATATTATAAATTTGTCTCAATATCAATAATTTATTAATCATTGTAATAGATATTAATCTTTTTTTTTATTTTTTATAATATTAAATAATTTATTAATATATATTTATATTTTTTGCTAATAAATACTTCATGATATTATAAGTTCTAATATTTTTTTTATAGACTAGGGAAGTTTTATAAATAATTTTAAGAATTTTTACAAAGATATTGCGTTATATGCCTTACTTTTAATATTTTTTTATTACTTTTTTTAATTTTATAATATTATTAATTCCTACGACATCACTTTATTTTATATTTAAATAAACCATATTTTTTTATTTTTGTTACTAATCTTTCTAATTCATTGGCTAAACATAAATTTTAAAAGAATCTTCTTCTTTTTCTATTAATTAGTTTATTATAATTTTTTAAATATGCTAATATTTCTCAAGGATATTAAAATTTGGATTATGATCAGATTTAGAAACATTATAAAGATAATTAATATTTTAATTTTATTCTTTATTTATATTTATATTACTATTATTTTATAGAGATATTATTAATGCATTATTATTATTATTATTTATTTATTATATATCATTATTATTATTCTATTCATTTTTTTTTTTTTTTTTAATAACATTGTTTTAATTTTCATTAGTTTCTTTTTTTCGTTTTTAATTTAATTCAATATCTTTCTTTTTTTAACTTTCTAAAGAAATCGACTATTTAGAATTATTTTAATTATGGTTAGAAATTTTCAAATCATTTTAGTTATTAACTTAAATATTTATATTATTTTCATTAATATTTGGGGTATTAATATTTCCGTTATTTATGCTTGAATCATTTATTGTATTTTAATTATTACTTTGATTAATAATAATGTTATTGCCATAATTATTTTCGTTATTATTATTAACAGCAGTAGGCTTATCTTGATTATCTTATAATTAGTTTTCGTCTAATAAATTATTATCTTATTATGGAACAATTTCTTATTTATAAAAAGTAGGATATTTATTTTTCATATTTAATTTCATTTTTTCAAATTAATGCTCATCATAAATATCTTAAACAAATTTATCAAAACTAATTTCTAAGTATTTTTCAACAACAGTTCTTAAGTTTTCTTTAGGAATTTACTTATTTTTTTAATATCTTTAATATTTGTTTCTATCAACTAATAATTTTGTTATTTTTTTAAATAAAATATACAAAATTTACGCTTTTCGTAATTAAATTCTTCTAATAAAAATTCTAAATTAATTAAAGGAAATAATTCTTTTACCCTTTTTACTATTTATTATTCTTATTTACCAAACTCAGGATATAATAAATCCACTAGTGATTATTTATAAGGATCTTTTCTTATAGATTTACTTAAATCTATTTCTAAATCTACTTAACATTAAGGACATTTTCTTTTGTTTTTGCTTTAATTATTGGATATATAATCATATATGCATATTTTGCAAACTATTTTTTATTTTTAAAATAATACTATTATCATATTTTTTTACATGTATGACCACATTCAGTTACAGTATGGGCAAACCTAAAATATCCGTTACATATAGAGCATACTAAAAATGGATTTAATATTTTTAATTTAAATCTTTTCTATTTATATATTTTTTTTCGAAAAAATTTATTAATATATATTTTCATTTTTTTTTATATTTTTAAAAAAACTTCTAATAAAAGTGTATCAAAATCCATTATTTTTTATTTTAGCTTTTATAATATTAATTTGAAAAAAAAAATATTAATAATATATTAATTTATTAAAAATTTATAAAAAGTGATTTGTTAATTTTAAAGTATATTTATTTATTTATTTTTAAATTAATAATTATATTTTAACCTTTCTACTAAATTAGTTATTTCTTTATTTATAAATAACTAGAAATTAAATAAAGAAATATTTTTAATAATAAAAATACATTCATATATACCTAAATATTAATTATGTAAACACAATTAAATATTATAATTATTTATAACATTTTTTATTAAATGTTAAAACATATATATTTAAAAAATACAAATGCATTTTACTATTAATAAAATATAAAAATAAAATAAAAAAGATATATATATAAAAATATACATATAAAAATATAAATAAGAATAATTAAAAACCAAGAAAGTTAAAAAATAAAACAAAAACATATAATAAAAACAATAAATCAAAATATTTTTTTTTTAAAAAGTAGAAAAAGGGAAAATGTTAACAAATATAATATAAAAAAAAGCAAACCAGCTATTAAATTCTTTCACAAGCAAACATTTTTATACTTTTTCAATAATAAAAAAAAAGAAGAATAATTAAAACGATGATATGGAAGAAACTAAATTTCTTGAAAGTTAATAATATCTGTTGGAGAAAATTAAAAAAAGAAAAACTACTAAATACGCTTAAACTAAAGATAATTATAGAATAGATGTAGGATTAATAATACACAGATACCCCATTTTTTTTTAAATGGATGAATATTAGATGAGAGCATTAAAATTAAGAAATTATATTCAAAGCAAATATAAGAGATAAATGGATCTACCCCCTGAATTAACAGAAATAACTAATACAATAAAAGGATAGGGTAATGAAGATAAGTAATCTGAATAAGCAACCTATTATTAAGATTTGGGAGCAGGAGAAAGACGTGAATATAGTGAATTATCGAAGCATTTTTTGGGGGTAGATCCCAATATAAACGACAAAAGATAATTGTAATATGCTGCATGCCATAGAACATATCTTTTAGTGAAGGATCCTATAATTAATTAGTTTGTTTTCCCTACTAAAACAGTTTTAGATAGAGAAGTTTTAAATGAAGCTAAGGCTTTACTTTTTGATAAAATGTCAGAATAGAAGTTTACAGTTTATTATAATAATGTTATACCTAATCTTTGTGTTGTTAGAAAATTTTATGAACATGAATTAACTAATCCTCTAAACAAAAATCTTTTAGGAGTGAAAACCTTTTATTATTATGGAGCTCATTTAACAGGACCTTCATATATTAATAATGAAATGTATAGTGAATATATTTGGACTCCTAAAATGGAACTATAATAACATGTAAGTAATGAATATTATGATAAATTTATTGATATTTTATTAAACTATTGATTTTATTATATTATATTTATTTAATTTTATTTTTGTTAAGTGTTAAATATTTTTTTTTTTTTTAAATAACTTTATTATTTTATTTTTTAAATATTTGTAGTTGTTGATATATTTTTTTTTTTATAAAAAAAATAAACAAAGTTTTGTAAGTGAAAAACAGATAAAAAAAAAATAAATAAATATATAATTATATTTTGTAATACTTTCCTTTAATAATTAAAAAGTAAAAGTATCAATTGATATCTTAATTACACATAGGACAACTTATATAATTATAAAGCCATTTAACTAAGCATTTTTCATGAAAAATATGATTACATTTAGTTTTTCTAACTTAATCATTATAATCAAAATCGCTTTAACATATAGCACAAATTTGTTCTTTAAAAGAATCATTTTATTAATAAGTTTCATATAAATTTCCTTAAGTACACATATTAATTTCATTTTTTATCTATAATTCAATTTCTTGTAATTATTTTTTCTTAATTTATTATTATGTTTTTGCTTCTTCATGATTTTTTTATAATTATATTTATTGATTTCCTTATGATTCATTTAATTCTTTATGACCGTTTAATTCCTTTTTTATATTTTTATTTATTAACTTTTTTTAAAAAAATAAAATAAAAAATTATTTACATTTCTTATTTTCAAGAAAAAAGAAATGCAAATATATATAATAATAATTGCAATGAAACTATAAATTATAATAAGATATATTTAATTCTATGGCTCTTAAATATTCAATTTTTAAATTTAGAAATAAGTATAGGTTTAAATCTCTACATTTTATACATTTTTTAAAAAAAATAAAAAATAAGAATCTTAATTATATTATTAAATATTAAAATCAAACTTATCTTAAGTAAATACATATTTATTTATGTAATTAAATTAATCAACTATCATATTATTGCTGCTTTAATATAATATTAATTTAACTTATTCATTTTTTTTTTAAATAACACAATATAATTATACTAATTCATTTTAGTTTTTATTTATAATTATATATTTTCCTTCATAAGGCATAAAATTTAAATAAATGTCTTTATTTGTTGTGAGATGAACTTTTTCAAATTAACAAATGCTTCCTGCAAAGTTAATATTGCAATCACATAATTCGTTTTTAGTCAAGTTTCCATTATTACTACATATATTTTAAGATTTTTTTAATTTCAAATTGAAATTTAAACACTTTAATTTTTTATTTTAATCAGGTAAATTAATTAATATTATGTAAAAATTATTTAATGCTAAAGATAACTGAATTTATGATATAAAATTATTATTTTTATAAATAGTATATTCGTCTTTTTTAGTTTCTTAATAACTTTCTAAACTCTACTAATTAGTAAATTCTAATACGGTAAGTTCTATATTGTAAATTTTTTCATCATTTTCTAAGCAAAAGTCTAGGTATAATATTATTTAGTTTGATTAACTTATTTTATATTGAAATTATAATTATTAAAATGTTAATAATTTATTCAACTCAAAAACATGATCTGATTTTATTTCAAAATTATATATAAGATTTATAAAAATAATAACTATTAATATTAATTATTATTTTTAAACATTTTAATTTTTTATTCTTTTATATTTTATTATAATTTTATTTTTATTTTATACTTTTAATTTATTGTAAAAGAATAAATTATTATAAATATAAAAATATTTATTAATAAATATAAATTTAATTTTTTAATATAAATGATTTTAATATATATATTGATTTATATTTAATTTAAAAAAAAAACCATTATGTTGTTTTTTTTTAGGCAAAAATTTAAAAAATTAAATAAATTTTATAAGTATTTATAAATATATAAATATATACATATGTATTTTTTATATATATATAATATCATAATTAATAAGATGGATACTAACTATATGATAAAATATATATATGTGATATAATTAGACTTATACTAAACATTAATAAAAAAAAAACATTATAAAAATAAATAAATAGTAAAAATAATTTTTATAAACTATGGTTTTATTGAAATTATGATTGGAAATAAAAAAATAAATATATAAGAATATAAACATATAGAAATATAAATATATAAATAAATATATATATATATATATATATATTTAATATTTATATAATATTTTTTTTTTCCTAATAATATTGTCAGTTTTATTTTATTTTATTTTTACTGCATATTTTTTGCTATTAATAGATTTACATTTTTTATTTGTCTTTAATAAATTTAATATCATATGGCTTGATTTTATACTTTATCTCATCTATATAGTTAGATACTAATGTTATAAATAACATTTTTTTCCAAATGCTTTTTCCATTTTGCCTAATATTTCTTAATAATATTTAATTTAGTCTATAATTAATATAACTTTAGTATACCATATTATTTTTGATATTTTATTTTATTCTATTAAAAATGCGAATATATATATATATAATATTTATTTTTTTTATGTTTGATTATATATAAAAAAATAATATAAATTTATATTCAATTATAATAAGTAAATATATATACATAAAAAAATTAAAAAAAAATATTAAATACATATATATTTCATTAAAATAATTAAAATATAAAATATTAAATAATATAACCATAATTTTATAATTTTAAATTAAAAAATTTTAATAGAATTTTAATTTATAAATAAATTAATTATATATATATTAAAAAATAATATAAGAAAAATAATTCAAAGTAATAAATCAATTTTAAACCAAATATAAACAAAATAATATATGCATATATATAAAATAAAATAAAATAAAAAAATATATTTAAACTAAAACGTAAATAAATAAAAATATAAATATATATTTATTTCAAAACAAATGCTAATTTAAAAAAGATTTTTTTTATCTCAAATTTATATTATTTTAAGCCAAATTTTAAGCAAATTAATTATTTAAAATTGCATATTTTTATTTTTTTTCATTATTAATATCAATAAAAAAGAGATTATTTTTTTATTAAGAAAAACTATTGTTATTTTCAATATTTATTTTAAATTTAGCACCATCATTTTTTTTGTTTTAATTAATAATATTAATATTATTTTAAAAAGAAATACCAATAACAGGTTTGTTTTATAAATTACTATTTTCATTATTATTATTAATTATTATTATTAATGTTATTATTATTATTATTATTATTATTATTATTAGTATTATTATTATTTATAACTAATTTTATGAGTTTTTTCTTGAATATTATTCAATGTTTTTAAATTCGTTTTTAGAGTTATTAGTTTTTTCTTAATTCAGCTATTTTTGCTTAATTTCAATATCATATTATAATTAATTAATACTTTTATACCTTTATTTTTTCTTTTTATCTGAACTTAATTAATAATTATCTATTTAAAATTATATTTCAGATTCTTCTTTCAAGATTTTACTTTTATTTGTATTTTAATTAAATGCTGAAATTCTCTCTGTTTCATGTATTTATTTTTTATTTAACTATATAATATTTGAAAACATTTAATTATTTTTGCAACTTTTACTTTTAGCCAAAATCGAAAAATAATTATTATTCCTTGTTGTTTTAAGATCTTGTTTATTATTATTTTACAAAAAACCGTTTGAGTTCGAACGTTTATTTAATTAATTGATATTTTCCATTTATTTATTTTATCTCATACATATAGATTCATTATTTGAATTATTTTTTTAAACAACAAAACTTTCATTTATTTAGTTATTTTTAGTTTCTTTTATATTTAATATTTAGTCTAGAATTAATTATTTTGTTTTTAACGTATGTTGATATATTTCATCTTTAGTTTATTATTAACATATACATGAGTTTTTTATTATTATTATATTTACTATTATTATTACTTAATCTAATTTTCTAAAGTAGATATTTTAAATATTTAAGATTCTAATTCTATTTAATAATTTTAAATTTGCTATTCTTTTTCTTCTAACTCTTGTTATTGTTTCATTATTGTTTTCTTGAATTTTTCTTATTCTTGGAATTTGTTATTAAAATTTTATATAGTACATTTTCCTTCGTTTATTATTTATTTTAATTGTTCTTGTTCATATATTTTTTTGTTTATTTATACATTCTTTTATTATAATTCAGTTTCTAATAAATTTATTTTGTTTTAATAATTTTATAAATTTATATTTTCTTCATTATTTATTTAATGATTATTATTATCTGTTTGTATTTCCTTGTTTTCATATTAAGTATTATAATATAATTTTATTTTATTTTGTAAAAAGTCAATCAATTAGTTATTCTCTTTTAAATCCTATTCAAGTTTTTCTTATTTTTCATTTTAAAGCTTTCTTTATTATTTTTATTCATCAAGTTCTTTTAAAAGTTCTTTTAATTTTTCTTAGGTTGATTTATTATTTCTAATATTTATATTTAATATATATATATAGATATATATATATATATATATATATATTTAATAAAAAATACATATCATATTCAAGTATTTAATTTTAAGCTTCTTTTATTGCATTTTCATAGTATATTTCTTTTTGTTTCAATTAATCATAATTAATTGCTTTTTACTATTTAAAAAAAAATGATAAAAAATTAGAAAAACTATATTAAAATAATATTTAAAATATAAAACTTATTCATCTTCAATTTAAGTTTTTAACAAATTAATAATTGATTCATATTTTTATGTTATTTAATTAATTTAATTTAATTAATTAATTTTTTGATCTTTCATTTCTATTTAATTTTACCTATACTTTTGTTATTATTCTTAGATTTGGTTTTCTTAAATTTTATTTTGTTACATTATTTATTAAATTGTTTTATCTTTTTCTATTATTTTTTTTTCTAAATATTATGTATTATTAGATTGTTTATCCTCTAAACTAAACTCTAGTTAAGTTCTATTAAATAGACTTGATTAATTAAATGCTTCACTTTCATTAAATTACTTATTTTAAATAATAATTTTTGCACATTTTAATTATCTATTCATCATTTTAAACATTCCGAAATCAT